CCTTGATTAGTTTCCACCCATTGCTTCTTGTCCTACCCTCAGGTGCTTTGGAGAATAGTTTGACTTTCTCTTCTTTGTGACAGCCCCTGAGATACCGGAACACTGCTATCATGTCACCCCTAGTCCTTCTTTTCATAAGACTAGACTACTCAGTTTCAGCAACCAAGTATTGTTCTGGATTGTTGAGAGAAAGTGACTGGTCCAAAATCATGAAGCCAGCTTTCCTACCTAAGAGGAATTAGAACTAACAGGGTCTTGGTTTCTAGCCTGGTGCCTTCTATTTTAAATATGGCACATTGCATGTCAACATAAATACCTTAGTTCTTGATGGAGTTTTATTCCCCAGATGGAACTTATGCATAATTTGTGAGTTTTATGAGCAATTGTTTGAAGAGCAGGTGGCAGTCATGGCCTGTAGAGCTTTTTCAGGGATCCACTTTGTGCTCCATTTATGCCCTTTCCTTGATTGGGAAGCCCTATCTAGAATCATTCAGTGACATTTAGATCATTGAAATCTGTTCTACTTGGGATTGCTCTTAAAGACTACTTGGAAGCTGTAGGTTGAAATGGCGCTACACCTTAGATGCCCAGATAACACTTTCCACACACTACACCACTCTTCTGTTGGCCTTTAAATAAAATTTAAAGTTGTTATCTACAAAAGTCTTTCTTGGCTTAGTTCTGATTATGACTGCTTTTCTTCAATTTTATTTTACTGTACTATTACATCTAGACAAGTGATGATGCTCAAGATCCAACTTAAAATTGTGTCAAAATGTGGATCTTGGAGATTTATTTACTGACTTGTATTTGATTTGATTTAGAACTGCTCAAGGGCAGAACAATTCTGGGCAGCTTACACTATAAAAATTAAAAATCCATAATAATAAACAAAAAGAAGATAAATGCCTAAACAGGACACAAAATATACCCAATATGGACTCAAATGCCCTACTCTGGACCACAAGAGATGGATTCTGGAACAACATTAGGGAACCACATGGAATTCCTGGGGGATACTATTCCAGAGGGTGGGTGCTGCAACAGACAAGGGACACTTTTTAGGTCCTGCTAAATAGCATTATTTGAAAGATGTGCTTTTCTATGGCTAACTCTGCCTGCTGCTGCAATATCATACACCCCTCTCCTGAAGTGTGCAGGGCCCCACCCTGCTGCTATTTAGGAAAGCCCTAAAAATATGACTTTTAAATAGGTTGTGGGACAGGACAATTTGGGATCCTATACTGAGTAGAATATTATAATTTGGTCTTCATGCTGTATTGTTGCCTGTTATAATAATAAGTTCTGTTTTTTTTTTTGTTGACTACCTTTTTATTTTTATTTTTCAATTCAATATGTTTGTTCCTTAGGGTCACTTGAATGTTTTTTTTTAGATTGTTCTACCCTGACTTTATTATTTTTATAAATACAATCACTCAAGACAATGAATATATCTAATATTCCTTCTTTCTCTATTTCTCCCACAAAAGAAATCCTGTGAAGTGAGCTGGACTGAGAGTGACTGGCCCTAAAGTCACCCAACTGGTTTTCCTACCTGCGGTGAAACTAGAACTCGCAATTTCCTGGTTTCTAGGCTTGGTACCTTATAAATAAAACAAATACATTCTAAAAAAAGTGTGGAAACTGTTATTTATACTTCTATAGATTAAATGTATATTTCCAAAATTGGAGATGACCATTTTACTTATTTGATTCTTCTGAAGTACAAATAAATGTCACTTTTATATTTGAAAGGACCTGATTTATATATCTGCAGTTTTTCCCAGAAGTGGTCCTAACGGTAGCCATATTTCTTCCCACCACAATCTCTGAACTTTCTCCTTCCCTGGGCTTTTGATTATGCTAACCAGTTAAGGTTTGGAAATGTGAAGCTTTATTTTAGATACGTACAGTAAGTTATGTCATTTCAATAAAGATATTTTCTCATTCTGGATCTTTTTCTCCTTATGATCAATATTGAGGAACTCTTTGTATTTTATTTATTATAACTATTAATGTGAAAAAAGATTTGTGAATACATGTGTGAATAAAAATGATGAAGACTTATCCAAAAAAAAACCACCCTACTTCAAAAGAATACTGATTCATCCCACATGCCAACAATACATTGCAGATTTTGTTTTCAACGTCATCATCATCTTGCTAGTACAGAGAAGTTATAAACCTCTCTTATAATACTACAAGCTTTTTGAGTTAGGCCAAAATAACTTTTATGAAATTAAAATTATGAAATATTTACTGAATTGTCTTCCTACATTACCACCATTATTTATTCCAATGTTATATTTTGTCTGAATATATGCATGTGTTTGTACATGTCTATTCAGAATATATCCTAACGAGTGGTGGGATTCAAAATTTTTACTACCCATGCTGTGGGCGTAGCTTGGTGGGGGTGGCATGGGTTGGTGGGCGCGGCAAGGGAAGGATACTGTAAAATCTCCATTCCCCTCCCCACTCCAGAGGAAGGATACTGCAAAATCCCCATTTCCTCCCGATCATCTGGGACTCGGGAGGCAGAGAATAGATGGAGATGGGGCCAGTCAGAGGTAGTATTTACCGGTTCTCCGAACTACTCAAAATTTCAGCTACTGGTTCTCCAGAGCTGGTCAGAATCTTCTGAATACCACCTCTGATCCTAACACTAAATGTATTATACCTTTTCTGTGATGATATTTAGATTTAACTGCTGACGTGTATCTGTACCAAGCTTTTTTATTCAAGTTGATTGCAAGTGATATAGAAGAGAGATAATTACTACTTTGCATGTGAGAGCATTCTGAAACTCCTGCCTATTTCACTGAAAACAGGATGGTACCTTTTAACATCACTGCACGTTCAAGTTTTTACTTGCACACAAGTTATCTAAAGCTTAGTCATTCTTTCCAGTAATTAAGGATGGGTGTATTCGGGAGAAAAAAGGCTTTCTTTTCCCCTGTCAGGCGCGTTTAACTTGGTCTTGTCCTTTTATTCATATTTCATATTGATTGTTTACATTGCTTGTCCTATCAAATTAT